CCAACTACCAACCAACCTAATAACCAACTAACCATCTAACCAGTCAATCAATTAACCAGCCACTCAACTAACCAATTAATAGGTCAATCAAACAGCCAACCAGCCAACCAACCAACTAACCAACCAACCAATCACACAGGAATATATACATGTGATCAGCAGGCCAATGGCCATCAGCAAGTCCAACCACGTCAGCTGGACGAACGTTTATTCAGACAGTCACGATCCCGTGAGATTTCATTGTCTTATATTTTAATTAATTAAATTAATTATTTTACTAATTAATATCAATTATAATTATTTAAGAGTTCAATAATTTTTGTAGTTTAAACTGTCTATTGAAATAATAAGGTGACGAAAAATAATTTTAAAGCAAATCATCATTGTAAACTCGATCAATCACCCTCTCATTCATTCATTTGTTTATTTTTTTTATTCATTCATTTATTTATTTCTTTTTTACCAACAACCGTTTAACCAATGAATCAACTAACCAATTAACCAATCAACCAGTCAATCAGTCATTCAATTTTTCAACTTCCTGAAAAATTGAAAGCCTTCAAAACAAAAAATGCCTTCCAGCAATCATTTTAACTTTTTCAAACCGGTCATTTTTCATTTCGTCATTTTGTCACATTTCTTCCCGCCATACCTGGAAATTGTTTTGTTTAATTATTGGGTTTATAACTATAAAATGCTTTTTTTGTTTTGTTAAAGTTTTTTGGTGGGAACCTCAAAGTCGTTGTTCGTCGTTTAGAATAAAACATTTAACAATTTAACTTCATTTTTAATGCTGGCATTTTTCCATGTCAACATTTACCAACACTATTTTTCATGCTTTATACCCGGAAAAAGCGTTTTTTATTTTCGCAGAATTACTGAGTCTTAATGTTTTTGGCGTTTTTTTGGCGGGAAATTTTTTTTTAGCGGGAACGTCGACTTCATTGTTGGATTGTCGTTCGGTAGCGGGAAATTAACTTTTTCTGTCGGAATCACAAATGGAGCATTTAAAATGGTGATCAATCATTTTCCGCAAATAACTATTCTCCACAATAAATTATCAAATAATAATAATAATTATTATTATTATTATTATATTAAAAAGTATCACTATATGAATTGTAATTCTAACAATGTTGATCAATGACTTGATACATTGGTACGTTCTGTGATGAATGAAATACTGGACGAACGATAGGAGGAATGGATGGATAAATTGTTAAATGGATAGACGGATAAATGAATGAATAAATGGATAGATTGATAGATAGGGGTGACTCAAATGACGGATGTTCCACGACTGATGCATCCGCCAATGATTTTCTGATTAAGTTATGACGGATTGATTGATCAATGTTTGCTCTATGTATAAAAGATTGATAGATGGATGATTTGATATCAATGATATTATATCATTGATATTTTATAAAAAGAGCAATAACAACAACAACAATGACAACAAAACAAAGAAACATTACCACCAATGGCGCCATCAAAATTTTTATCGATATTTTTTGAACTAATGCTAATATGCTCATATGATTAATGTAGAAACACCGCTGAGACTTGCCGTCCAGTTAAAATTCTCTCTCTCTCTCTCTCTCTCTCTCTTTCTCTCTCCCGTTTGCTTTTCCTCACTCCCTCTTTTTCTCTTCTCTCTCTCTCTCTCTCTCTCTCTCTCATAACACATATTTAAGCGTACATGTTCCAAATACCAAAGCTGATAAAGTTTCAAAGATAAAAATTTCGCAATAAAAATAATGACGTCATCAGGAAACGACGATGATGATGACGATGACGAGTGATAATATTACCGTTATAAACGTTAGGCGGTAGTGCGTAGCTGATTGTCGGGCCATTAAATGATTCCAATCTATCTACCAGGTGGTGATGGTGATTGTGATGATGGTGATTGTGATGAGGATGTCTGTGATGATAATGATGTTGTCTATTTTTGTTGACGGTTGTGATGACGATGACGATGAAGAGATTCTGAAATGGTGATTGCCATGAGATTGACGATGACGACAAAAAATGTTTAACGAGATCAAAACTCAAAACTCAACGACAATCCCGAGAAGTAAAAAAAAAGTATGCTACTGCAGCGGCGATGGTAGCCACAATGTGGACAGTGGTGATGAGGAAGGTGATTATGACGATGTAGTGATAAAAATGGCTTCAAATGCGATCGAGTTTTAATCGGCTATATGATTCGGGCGTTTTATCATTGCGTGTTTGTTGCTGTTGTCATGTTTTTCTCTCCTTCTTTCTCCTTTCTCTCTCTCTCTTTCTCTTTTACTTGCTTTTTCTCTATTATTTATATATATATATATATATATATATACACACAATAATAAACGAATATATGTGAATGTATTATTCAATATGCGTATTATAGGAATATCATTGTATAATCGGTATGATTCGGCAGAACGGCTTTACTTGGTAATTTTCGATATAATCGGTTGATTCGTTACGATTCGCTATAATCGGTTTGATTCGGTATGTTTCTGTATGTTATGTTTAGAGTAAGCTCGGCATTAGGCGATAGATGATTTATTGGTGGGGAGAAAGAACGAGTAAGTGATGATGATTTATTATTATGATTTATTGGTGGGGAGAAAGAACGAGTAAGTGATGGATGGCCCAATAAATACACTACTGCCTGTGTTGTTATTGGTGCCAGTGCCAATAACAACAACAACAACAGTTACAATATTTATATATGTATGTGTGTGTGTGTGTGCATGTGTGTGCGTGTGTCTGTGTGTGTGTGTAACATATTGTGTGTGTACTTAGTAGTACTAGTATTAGTAATAGCAGTAGAAGTAGTTGCGGTTGTTTAAGTAGTGTAGTAGTAGTTTTTGTAGAAAGGAGTAGTAGTAGTAGAAGTAGTAATAGCAGTAGTAGTAGTAGCAGTAGTAGTAGTAGTAGCTTCTTTTCTTTGGCAGCAGGTGCAGATATGAAAAATGTTGCAGTAGTCTTAATGGGATGGTAATTAAAATTGTATTATTTATATATAAAAATACTGGCATCTAAGTGTGTATGTGTATGTTTGTATCTTTGTATGTTTGTATGTTTGTTTGTATATGCGTGTGTGTGTTTGTATGTTTGTATATTATTTGTATTTTTCAGGGTTTATCGATGATGACAACAGTATCTCAGGCAGTTTATGATAAGAGGCCAGAGATGGTATGTGCCATTTTATTTTGTTATTAATGTAGTGGTAGCACTCATTTATTCAATCATTAAATAGTTAAATAATTAATTCATTCATTCATTCATTCATTCATTCCTTCTTTTTTCTCTCTCACTCTCTAGAACAACATGGGAGTTTTACTCGGGGTCATGGGCACTGACATACCATTGGATGAGATGACGAAACATTTTCCCGCTCATAAAGTTCAACATTTTTCAATTTTTCCAATGTTTTTTGAACCTAAACGATTTTATTCTTCAGTTATCCTGCAACTAAATTGAGAAATAACTTTTATATAAGTTGCCGGTTAAGATTAATTATATAAATTTGAGTATTTTGTATGAAAAAAAGCTAAATTCTGAAAATTATTTCGATGTTGCTATAAAAATGTACAATGTTACAGAAAAAAGCAACATTAATTACACAAAATAATGCTCCCCCACTTTTAGATTGGTGTAAATGGTTATCCCTTCGCCATCACGCCAAATGGATACACGCTATTTCATCCGAGATTAAAACCCAGGGTACCTGCATTATTTCTCTATTACAATTTTCTTTTGTGTTCTTTTCGGACGGTATTCTCAACAACAAACACAAAGTGTATTTAAATACACGTGAATCAACACGTCAGACAAATTGCATGTGATAGAGGGATGGATCACCTGGCATTCGAACAAGCTCACTGCGTCATTATCTTTATTGTGATCATAAACACGTCATTATTTGTAGTCATCATCGTCATCATTGTACTTCATCATTATTGACGTCACATCCTGAGCCTCGTTATTGTTCTCGTCACAGCTCCTCCATCATCATAATTATCTTGCCACCATTCTCTAAACCTTGTCATCACCTTCATCATCATCACCGTCATTACTGTGACGTCATAATCATCGCCCTGACGTCATCATCGTCGTATTGATTACGTCACCACTAGCAACCAAACTTGTCGGACGATGACGGTGCCTACAACGCTGTTGATCTATCTGACCTTGAAGTTTCAGATGTTGAACACATGGTAGGTGGTGAGGGCTGGCTATGGTGATGCAGATAGATGGTGACGACAACAATGATGATGATGATAATTGCGTTCATTCAATCATTCATTCGTTTATTACTCATTCACTCATTTATTCATATAATTGTTCACTTTTTCGAGTTGTCAATCAATCGTTTAATGAACTAATTTTTTTATTACCATTAAGCTGCTAGGTGTATTTATTTATTCATTCATCTATACATTCATCCATTCATCTATTCATCCGTCAATTCATCCATTCATCTTTTCATCCATCCATCCATTCATCTATTTATCCATCCATTCATTCGATCCTTCCTTCACTTCATTCACTCATTCACCAGCTTAGAACGGCCATGATCAACAGAAGAACCGGTAGCTTGAGGATGAAATCCGTAGTAGCGTACGAGTCAGGGGTAGAATAATTTCTCGTAATTATTATTATAACTATGTATTTATAACTATAATTATATATTTATATCTATAATTAAAGTTAGAATGTCATCATCATAATTAACATCATCGTCGTCGTCATCATCACCGTCTGCATAGCAAAGAGCGAAAGAAAGGGATAGCACATACTTCTACACAGACGTTAAAAGAACGCCGTTCAGGTTTTGGGAAATAATTATAATATAATTATTATTAATAAATAATATTTTATCGGGGATAATTTCAATTAATTTAAAGTATAAATATTTTTCTCATTCAGTTACGTTAAAGGGTTAAAACAATATAAAGAGATGTTATTGTACGAATAAATTGTATTTTTGTGTCTTGATTTCAATTTTGCAGTTACCCGTTGTATGAAACAGAAATTCTATTTCAATTTTTTTTTTCTGAAATTATGAATTTTTTTCAAAATTGTTACATAATTTTTTATACTGTATACACACCCACACACGCACACGCACACACATTAACAGTGTCGCCATATCATTGCCAAACAAGTACGGCCACTACAAAGTAGAGAATATAGCCCCGATCGACTTTAACGGTGAATTTAGAATAATATTACTCTCAAAATAATAATAATAATTATTATTATAATAATATATTTGTTAGTTATTAGAATAAAATCATATTTTTATTATACTCCAGTGAATATTTGATTATTTTTATGAACACAGAGTTCAGCTCCTTACAAAGTAACGATCTGATGATAGCTCCTTGGTTAGTTGTGATGTCTTCTGGCGTTTTTGTGGTACTTTTTGGATATCATTGTCGTCTTACTTAGATATCATCGTCATATTTTAGTACCATTTGATTATAGGTGTTATTGTTTAAATTAAAGCAACACAAAAGTTTAAAACACATCTTACAAAAACGATCAAATCATATTTCTACATTTACTAACGCATTGCGGTACTTGGGGCATTTTGTGTGGGTTTGTCGTGAATGCTACGAGGCCAAATGAGGATTGCGAAAGATGTAAAAGTATTTTAATTCAATTCCAGGCCATATTGTCAGAACATGACAGGGCACTTTGATAGGGCAGGTCTGACAACGTTGGTTCAAATACTGACTGAATTTAAGGATAGGCCGAGAGATCTATTTCAAATATGTTTGTATATGCGTGTGTGTGTTTGCGTGTGTGTGTGTGTTTGTGCGTGTAGGTGTGCGTGTTTATGTGAGTGTGTTTGTTTTATTCTTGTTATTACTATAACAAGGCGATAAGGAACTCTTAGAGAGCTTGCTGTTCGATGCCGAGGCCACACGAGGTCTGCCGGCAAGTTGGTTCAAAGAAAATTGGGTTGAGTTCATCGGCGGTGAAGATTCGCAGTCTATCAAGTAATTATTTGTTAATTAACTAATTAATTAATTGGTAGGTTGGCTGAGTGGTTGGTTGATTGATTGGTTGGTTGATTGATTGTTGAATTTGTATGCGTGATTTTATTAAACTTTCTTATCGAAATGTATTTTTTTTTCTTGCCAGGAACGGGATCGAATTGGTGTTCGTGGGCACGAAGGGCGGGCTGACGAGGTACCTCAAACTCGTCCCTAACCTCACCGACCCGTATGTCCCTTTCATAATATTTTCATTGTTTTTATAATTTTTTTTAAATATTTCAAAATTTCCTAGCTTGCAGATACAACCTTTGCGTTTTTTCTTTATTTTTTTTACAGTGTGTATATATATATATATATCTATACTGGATTATACTACCACTATTTCTACTGCTGCTACTACTACTACTACTATTTTTACTACTAATACTATTACTGCTACAACAACTACTACTACTACTACTATTACTACTACTATTACTACTACTTCTACTACAATTACTTCTGCTGCTGCTGCTGTGGCTACGCCTGTCACTACTACAACCACCGATCAGAGAATTTCTAGAAACCATAGCCTCCCCTATAAACTCGACCTACTACCAAAGAGCGGCTGACACGGACGAAGTCATCTTCACATTCTCCGTCCCATTCAACTACAACGGTACCCTACTTTGTATATTATCTTTGTACGTCATCACCATTCAATCACCATTTTGTCATTCGTGATTAGCTTTCTGTAGTTGGTAACTTTAATGTGATTAAATTAACTGAATATGTGATTAACTAAATAAGTGAATAACTTGTGAATAATTTTCTGTAGCTAGTATCTTTATCTCAATCACTACAACACATCGTCGTTGTATATACATCGGATGAGAGTTAAAAGGAAGAGTGAGAAAGAAAAAGAGAAAACAGAGAGAGAGAGAGAGAGAGAGAAAGAGAGAGAGAAAAAAAGAGAGAGAAAGAGAGGGAAAGAAAGAAAGAGAGAAAGCGTGAGAGTGAGTGAGAATGAAAGAATAGAAAAAAAAACATATAAATTACTAACTACTTACTACCACTGTTGAAATATCATCCCAACCAGGAGCAAAGGACATGACGAATTGTGTAGTAACGGCTTCAGCTCCCATTCTTATAAACGACGGCGACCAGGCAGCAGTGGCTGCTGTGGTCGGACTGCAGATGAAGTATTCCTACTTCTACAAACTTTTTATGGATACACCTTTTGATAATAAGTTCAGTCCCAGCCATAAAAACACACTGGTAAATGGAAATCTTACCTGCGGTAATCCGGTCAGTTGAATGGATCAATGGATAGATGAATGAATGCATGAATGCAAAAATGAATGAATGAATGAACGAACGAACGAACGAACAAACGAACGAACGAATGAATCCAAATGATTATAACAACTCAAACAGATTCTGAATTGCTATCTCCTAGACGAGAACGGCTACGTCGTACTGTCAGAAAACTCGAACGAGGTCACTTTCATCTTTCATTAACAACAAAATTATGCTGATTTAAATAAGCCCAGTTTTTTTATAATATTTTATAATAATAAAAAACCAATAAATTATGAATACATAATTATAAAATTATAGTTGTAACTATATAATTGTACAAATAAATTAACAAAAAAAAAGGTCGGTCGATTTTTTGGCTGGGTCGGTGGTCTCAACATCTTCATGTCTAGACTGATCTACGAAGAAGGCACTGCAGATTACGAAGGGGAAGATAGTGATATAATAATAATAATAATAATAATAACAATGGCGAAGACAGTTCGGATAATAAACAAAGATGGCCTCTTTTTAAGAGGTTTGTGGTTGGCTGGCTGGTTGGTTGGTACATAACTAAATATACACACGTACATACACACACACACACATACTTACATACATACATACATACGTACATACATACAAACATACATAAACACACACACACATGCATACATACACACACACACGCACATACAAACATAAATACACACACGCACATAGAAACATTCACACCTACTTGTTTCATTTAAATAAGATTGCGTGTCGTTGATACCCAAGCCACGTGCACTGATTCCTCCAATTTGGGGTCCTCTGCTTCAATTATTGTCACACAGGTAGTTTTTGCTATTGTTGGTGTTGTTTTTGTTGTCGTTGTCGTTGTTGTTGGTGGTGGTTGTGGTGGTGGTGTTGCAGAGATTGTGGTTGTTGTTGTTATTGTTGATGTTACTCAGGTTGTTGTTGTTATTGTTGTTATTGCTGTTTTTAGTTTTTTAAAGTAACGTGCTTCGATGCAATATAAATTTTCTAATTTTTACAAATCTGTTACTACTTTCAATTTTACCAATTTTACTATATAGAAAATTTTAATTTGAATTTGAAATAAATAAACAAAAAGTTTGTTATATATAGAGAGATGAAAACTAAAAGTGAGAAAAGTAAGAAAGGGAGAGAGAGAGAGAGAGAGAGAGAGAGAGAGAGAGAATAAGAAAAGATTAAAAGAGAGAGAGAGAGAAAAATTGGATTAAGCATATATATCAAATACAATAATGAAAGAACATTTCATAATGTTAAAATTAACATCAAATAATGTATAATATATATTATATAAATATTATATATTTTATATATTATATATTATAAAATATAAGAGCAATAATCAATTTTTCCATTCACTTCACTCTAGCCACTGCACTCCTTGTTCAACTCGTTCACGTGGCTTCTAGGAGTGCTTCATCATATCATCGTGTCAGTCATTTTATTATTTATATTATTATGTTATTATTATTTGTAGTAGTAGTAGAAGTGGTTGCAATAGCAATAGCAGCAGCAGCAGCAGCAGCAGCAGCAGCAGCAGTAGTAGTAGTAGTAGTAATAGTAGGTAGTAGTAGTAGTAGGAGTAGTAGCAGTAGTAGTAGTAGTAGTAGTAGTAGTAGTAGTATCAGTAGTGAAATAGTGGTTTCATTAACATCATGATAAATAAATGAAAATGCGAACAGAACTTCGCTGACAATGGATTGGTGGTTTGAGGTTCAGTCCTTCATCAACGGTCAGTGAAGTTTTCAAGTTAATTTTGGGCAATCTTCAGTAGACCGCTATATAATTTTACTAAATTATGTGATTTGTTCGTTTGTTCATTCATTCATTCATCCATTCATCCACCTATCTATTCATTCATTCATCCATCTATCTATTCATTCATTTATCATTTACTCATCCATCTGCTCGTTCATTCATTCATTAATTCATTAATTCATCCATCCATTCAATCAATCATTCACATCCCAACCATCTACTTGAAGCCTTCGAAACTTACGACACGAACACAGCCAATTACACGACCGACATGGAGTTCAATATGGAAGAGATCTACGAGCTGGGCCCTGAATACGTCAACAAAATTCGATCAGATTGTTTGAGATTTGAAGATATACAGGCATGCATTCCAATCTGCACTCCAATCTACACACCACACACACGCCACACTCACATACACACACCTCCTACAAACGCAGCAGTGCTTATTTGCTAGAACACGCTTAAACACGTACACGTACGTGTGCATACACAAACACCGTCATACACACACTGCGCAGAAACACACTCACACCAATTCACGTTTTCTAAACATTCTCTACACTAACTCTCTCTCTCTTTCACCACTCCTCAAACACTCCACACTTTACACAGACACTCCACATAAACACTATTCACACACTCACGCACTCTACAAACACTTTCATACCAACATAAACACTCCACAAACACTCCACACAAACACTACACACAAACACTCCACAAAAAACACTCCACACGAACGCAGAGGAAGAACCAGTGCATAGAAGACGTGAAGTTATCTCAAAGGGAGATCACACTTACCAGAACACGGCCCTGTATCAACTCTGTGTCGCACTACGAAGCCAACCTCAATGCCCTCCCCATTCACGGTACGCCATCACTCTGCGAAGAAAGTGGCTTCTGGTCAGTAATTGTTATTATTATTATTTTTTCTATTATTATTATTATTTTTTTTTATTGCGACAGAAATGTGAAATGAATAAATTTTAATACTATTTAACTCTGGTCATACTCTCTCGATTCCAATGATGAACTTCTCAGATGAATACTCCATTCATTGCATTAGACATTTCAATTTATTTCATTATTTTATTTTATTTCTACTGCCAATTTTATTGTTTTTTATTATTGCTGGATAAAAGATTGATCCCATTATTATTATAATGATGAAAAATTTTTATATAATTTTTTTATCATCCTTATATTGGTATGTGAATGATGAGCAGAGCACTGATGACTATAAAAATTTTGTATATTTATGATATTTGATTTTATATTTTGAGGTTTGATGATAATAAAGAAAGAGCTCCCATTATTGTTATTATAACAAATATTGTTGTTATTATTATTTATTATTGTCAATATTGTTGCTAGTAATAGTATAGAAGTGTTAGTAGTAGTAGTAGTAGTAGTGGTAGTAGTAGTAGTAGTAGTAGTAGTAGTAAAAATAGTACCAGCAGTAGTAGTAGTGGTATGTATGTATTAGTAGTAGTAGAAGTATTAAAAGTAATAGTAGTATTCTTATTATAAATATTATTCTTATTATGACAAGTAGTAGTAGTAGTAGTAGTAGTAGTAGTAGTAGTAGCAGCAGCAGCAGCAGTAGTAGTAGTAGTAATAGTAGTATTACAATTATAAATATAATTATTTTTATTATGACCAGTGCGTTTGCGGCCAATCGTGTCCCTGGGACCAACCTGATAATGTTGATGATTGAGAAGGAGTGCGCTTGTACAAGGACGTATGGCTTCGTCAAGATCTATGAGGAAATTAAAAATATCTTTTTTTTTTAAAAAGTGGATTGATTGGTTGGTTGACTGGCTGGTTGGTTAAAAGGTTCGTTGGTTGATTGACTGGTTGGTTGATTGGTTGTTTGACTGGTTGGTTGGTTGATTGACTGGTTGGTTGACTGGTTGGTTGATTGGTTGGCTAGTTGGTTGGTTTATTCACTGATTGGTTGGCTGGTTGATAGGCTGGTTGGCTGGTTGATTGACTGACCGATTAGTTGAGTGGTTGATTTATTGTTAGTTTGGTTGGTTTTTTAGCCAGATGATTGTCTAATTAATCGACTGATTCATTGAAAAAATTTAAAAGAATATAAATAAATATCTATTAACAAATTAATTAATTACCTAATTAATTAATTAGTTTGTTTGTTGTCATCCTTAATTTGATCTGATAATTCATTCCTGTACGTGATGATATCGTCTGCGAAAAAATTTGGAAAAGTCTCGATAGGAAAGTTCTCACGGACTGCGTCTCCCATCATTCCAAGGTATGGAAAAATACTTTTTATTATGAATATTTATAAGGGAGTTTATGAATAATAATGATTTTGGTTTAATAATGAATGTTCATGAGAAAGTTTATAAAGAATTCTCTCACTCTCTCGCTCACTCACCCACTCATTCATTCATTTATTCATTCTTTCGTTCGTTCGTTCATTCATTCGTTCATTCGTTCATTCATTCACTTAGGAAAACTACACAGAATGCGGGCGGGGTGCATGCATGCATTGCACCGGGAACATTTTCATCATCTTCCTCACATCCCAATCTATATTTCTTCTCGTCATCATTCATTTAGTTTATAATTAATTCCCAGAGTTTCGATATCTTTAATTTTGTTTCATTGGCTTGTCGGCGAATGCATCAATGCATGAATAGGATTGAATGAATGAATGATGGATGGATAGATGAATGGATTAACGGATGGATAGGATCGATGAATAAATGGATAGATATATCGACAAGTTTTTAAACGAATGAATAAAAAGCTAAATAATTCAGTCAACAAGTAAATCAGTCAGTAAATCAATAAATCAATTATTGTTAAATGAATGAATGAATGATTGACTAATTAATTGAATGAATGAATGATTGGATGATGAAAAAATAATGAATGAATGATTAAATGTTTAAATGATGGAATGACAATGCCATATCTCTCTAAGTGCAACCGCTCTCCCGTAATATTTCATTTTCAAATTCCTTCACCATTCATTCACTATTCATTCATTCATTCACCATTCATTTACCAGTCATTCATTTATTCATTCATTTCTTCATTCCTTCATTCACTCATTTTCAACTATTTAATGTCGGCAACTCCAGACGTCAAATGAGGTTTAACATCTTTTAATCCCCAAAAAAAAAATCTATTCAAGAACTTTTTCTTTCCCCATCATCATAATTATTTTATTTTTGTCTAAGATAAAATCTGATTTTTTTTAAATCCCCCAAAGACAAAAATAATTATTTATTGTATGTTTTGTTTTTTTTTGTATTACGTTCAATTCCTGTTGCAAATCTCTTCGTCATGCATTCCTGCTATGTGCACGTTGTTTTCAAGTTTTCATTTTTGTTTTTTCATTCCTTTATTCATACTTTTGGTCAGTCAGTCGGTCAGTCAGTTAGTCAGCCAGTCGTTCGTTCTTTCGTTCATTCATTCATTCATTCGTTTATTCATTCATTCGTTCGTTCGTTCATTCACACATTTATTCATTTACTTCTATTAAAAATAAAAACAAGAATTTTTACATTTTTTTTATTTAATAATTCAATAAAAAAACAATTTCTTGATTTCTTTTGTTATTTTGTTATTTCTATGTGCTGAGTTGTCCTGTTTTTACGTTAAATCAGTTTCTTTTTCAAAATCGGCTTGAAAATTTTTCATTTCATCGTTAAATGCCAAATTTGTTTTTGTGTTGAAATTTGGATACTTTGAAATATTTATATAGCAAGTATTTTGTAAGTTGTATGCGCGTGTGTGTGTGTTTGTGTTTGCACGTAGATATGTTTGCTTGTATGTTTGTAGGTTAGTATGTAGCTATGTTTGTACGCATCTGGGTGTGTATGCATGTATGTATGTATGTTTGTATACGAGTTTGTATGTGGGTTAGTGTGTATGTATGTTTGTTTGTACACGTGTTTGTATGTGGGTTAGTGTGTTTAGCTTGTTTTACCAAATTACCAAATCATTTCATCCAATGAGGGCAATAAGTTTCTATGTTTTGTTTTCATCATGTTTGTTGTTTTTTTTTAAATTTTATTTTTCTACTTTAAACGTTTGCGTGTGTGTGTTGTGTGTTTGCACTTATGTGTGTGTGTTTTTTTCAGATTGTGTGTATGTATGTTTGTGTGTTTATGTGTGTGTGAGAGAGAGAGAGATGTTATTTAATGCAACAACTTCATAAACCTCTTAAATGAATATTTGAATATTTGATAACTATTATATACTACTAATAAACTTTCCAAATCTTCGTTTTCCCCACATTCTATGAATAACCCTCATTCGCTTCAAACCTAAACTTTTTCGTTTTTATTATTTTCATTTTTTAAATTAATTAACAAAAAAATTGATTTTAAGATTGAATAATATTACTCTTAAAATAAGAATAATTTATTGATTTGTTTGTTTGTTTATTAACAAGTTAATAATGTTTGTTAATTATTATATTTCTTTTTTAACTAATCATAATGTATATTAATCTATGTATTCATTAATTCGTTTGTTCGTTAGTTCGTTCATTCATTTATTAATTTATTCATTCATTAATTCATCCATTCAATCAATCATTCATTTATTCATCCATTCATTTATTCATTCATTCATTCATTCTTTCGTTTGTTCGTAAATTTATCAACAGAGTTAAATAGTTGTGTGAATATATCTAGCAGTAAAACATAATTCATTCATTTATTTATTTTTATTTTTTTATTTTTTTTCAAATATTCTGTCTTCTCCGTATTTATAAAGTTTATTACGAGACATTCAAATAAATGCTTAACTCGTGCAACGAGTCGTTCAGGTTTTATTCCTCCTTATTTTAAAAAATTATTTGTTTTTGAATAAATTAAAATTAAACCCAAAGTTTAAGTTCAATTAATACATTTACTGATAGGTACTTAGGAAATAATTTTGATTGAGACTTATACATAAAGGTGCAAATTTTAAAAATTATTCTATATTTTATAGGCAGACAGTGCAAGAGAACAAGATATGGAGATATATGAGAAAAGAAAGGGACACGAGCAACTTGACGAGCAGCAGAGTTAAAAGCTTTACTTAAAGGACAGAGTATAAAATCAAGAAAGCCATAGTGGAGCGAGTTACACAATCCTAGATAAGACTAAAGAAATAACAAGAAGGAGAAGAGTAGGATCGTCAAGAAAAGGCAAAAGTTTTTATTCTACGTAGATGAAAGTAAGAACTTCTGGTAACACTATTAATCTGAGAAGAATGAGACATGCCAGAATCAAAGATAAAGCCTAGACTCACAATAAATAAAAACTTTCAAATTAATGAAATAAATTTACAAAATTTTATTTGCTCACAATAACTTCCCTAAAAAATGTATAAAAATAGTTAATTACAATAAGAATGTCATCAACATATTTAACAACTATGACGTCATAGCTCCTTCGCCGTAACGTCATACCTCATTTCTTAAGAACAATGACTACGAAGGCGATGACGACCGCCAGAATGACCGCACCGACTACCAAGCCAATGATGGAGAGGGCGTAGGAAGCCCTTCGTAGAAATTTTGCCCTTTCTACGTTGCCCGCGTCATACTTTTTCTTGCTAGACACTGAAACAAAATTGTTTAAGAGGTTATGGCAAAAAAGTCGAAGATCAAATTCATAAAAAAATTCTGAAAAAATCTTACCAGCAGTAACTAAGGCAATCAGGCCAAATAAAACACCACATAGAATCGTGACGAGAATGGAAAAAACTAAGGGACCTATGTAAGCTCGGCTGTCATCGTCATCGTTATTACTGATTCTACCCCACTGGACTGAATCTAAGTCGTTGAAAGCCGTCATAAACTGCTGCGGCTGTTGTGGTAGTTGTGGTCGAGATTGAATTTCTTGCTGATCGTATTGACTTTGCTGTTGTGGTTGGTTCGGTCGAAATTCGTGTTGGGAAAAATGTTGCAGATATGTATTTTGTTGCTGCAACACCTGTTGCTGCTGTTGTTGTTGTTGTTGCTCCTGCAGTTGCTGCTGTCGCATTCTTTGAAAATGTAACTTCGGCTCTTGAAATGCGCGTTCATAGGTTGAAAATTGTGAATCCAAATCTTGTTGTTGTTGATGCCGTTGGTGATTGTACTCTGGTGGTTGTGAGTACTGCTGTTGGGGTGGGTTGAGCCGCGGGAGAGGGCTTGGTAGTTGGTCGTAATAGGGTGGTGGCGAGTAGGAAACGTTTGGCTGAACATGTTGCTGATGGTGCTGCTGCTGTGGAAAATAATCCTGAGATCGTTGCTGGGAGTTGAAATATTCTTCCATTTCCCTTTCAATTATTTTTCTATTTTTACCTGTATCTATACTTTGAAAATACAAGGGCTCACAAATGTAGAATGAAACAATTTTTGAGGAATTAATCTTATGTAACAATTTTTATCAATTAAATGGCTTTAGCTAGAATATATAACTTAAATTTGATTTTCCAACTGAAAATGTATGCGTGACAAAAATCTTGAGCAGTTAAGAAACACTATTTGATCCTACTTCAAAATTTATTAATATTAATCATTTCATTTTTATGTTAATTTGTTACTCACGATGTTAATTTACGTGAAGACGTACGTAAAACTGAATAGCAGCACCTCTTTGATTGTTAACAACCGAGACGTCGCTAAAATAACAATGGTCTGTATAGGTATATTTCAGCGTGTTTAGTGTGTGTGTGTGTGTGTGTGTGTTTGTTTGTGTGAATTTGTGTGTGTTGTGTGTGTGTGTTTGTTTATATGAATGTGTGTGAATGTGTGTGTGTTTATTTATGTGAATGTGTGTGTGTTATGTTGCATTTGACATGTTACTCATTGTCACAAGATCGGTATTGTTAGGATTAATTCTTTAGATTTCGTCCAAAATTCTGCGTAATAATAATTATGAAAAACACCTAAAAATAGGCGAACGAATGAGCAAACAGTTGAACAAACAGGTGAACAAACAAGTAAACGAACAGGCGAAAGAACAAATGAATGAACACATGAACGAACAATTACTGTTTTTGTGTTTGTTTTTTCTTTAATTTTGTACTAAACACTCAAAAAGATACTTTGTTTGAGGCTTTTAATTAGTAAGTTAGTCGGTTCATCCTGGAGTATTTTATTTTTAAAAATATATCCTAATCAAGAAAAATTATAAACTAAGAAAACTAATATAAGATAAGAAAATAATACATTCATGGGATGGAATGTATGGCCGGATCACAGTTTATTCGCGCAAGAATTATATAAAAACCCAGTTAAAAATTGAGAAAATAATCAATTAATTGACTCACTAATTTATCAATTAATTAATTAATTAATTCATTCATTCATTCATAAAAATATTATTTTATTACTTAAATTCATAACCAACAGCACAGATTTCACATTCATCGTAGATAGAGGCATGGCAAAACAAGCCACATGTGATCATCTACTTATCTACATAGCAGTAATATTTAATTGTAGGATGGTTTCTTACTAAAAACAGTTGTAGATAGAATGATGTAGAGGATGAGTGCTATCCCGGCAAGAATGCCAAGTATTGAAAATGCATACGAAGCCCTTCTCAGACGTTTAGCCGCAGTGTTTGAGCCATTCGTCCATGAGTTTTGTCCAACACCTGTAAAGGAATATTTTATTATGTGATTCACTTATAAATTTATTAATATTTTGTGATTATATCGTTTGGTGCGCGAGTTAGCTCAGACGATAGAAGCGCCACGTTTCGCGTTGTTATTGTACGATGACCTGGTTCGAATGCAAAATTTCGACCGTACTCCATACAATGTGTACTTAGATCGTGAGGTGTGAATGCTGCAGTCTTTGTCGCACGGTAGTTAAGATATAGTTATGGAATGATATGTGAGGAACAGTTCTATTTAATATGGAATGGTTATTTCAAGATTTTTATAATCAGTAAGTTTTAATTTTCTAAAAAAAAAAATCTATTTCAAAAATATTATCAAAACAAAAATTCTTCAAACGGGTATTATACTCACACACCAGAACGAGAGCCACTGTGCCAAATAGAAAGAAGCAGAAAAAAAGCACCAACACCGAAAGAACATAGGCAGTAGTAAATTGTATGGGAGGCTCACTATTACGCTGTACCACGAAGTAAACCGGTGTCACATGAACGGTTGAGGCACTCTGGTTACTTAAATTTTGTGGGTTTAGGGGTAAGTTGTAGGGGCTGGCTTGGTAGAGCGGTGCTGTAGCGTTTTGAAATGGTTGTGGCTGCTGTGGCAGCTGTTGTGGCAGTAGGTTTGGGCCACCGGTAATGGTTTCTTCGTAAGATGGAGGTTTTAATGATTCATAATTTGAGAACTGAGCTGCAGTTGATGATGTCGCTTGGTCCAGTGGAAGATAGTAGGGTTCATTTGGTTGGTTTTGTTGCTGTTGTTGTTGCTTTTTTGGCCCTGTTTGAAAGTTATCAGCATTTTGTTGCGGTTGCTGTTGTTGGTTGCTTGGGGCATATACACCGTCGATTGTTCTTGAATACTCGTTGGCTAGCGATGAGACTGTCGCTGCAGCCAATGACTCGTAGCAAGGCGGTTCCCTCTCGTTGCTAGCCATCTTGCGACAGATTTTATCAATTTATATATATTTTTTAATTAAAATTTTAAATTTAGAAAATAGCTTATAAAATTAACTGTTGCTAATATTTGTAATCACTTTGAACGTCGGCAGTTGTATGTGCAAACACAACATGTAAAATTTATCATTTGTCTTTCTCCCTCTCTCTTTCTCTCTCTCTCTCCATTCTCTATTATTTTCTCTTTCGTTCACACAGCTAAACAAATGTAATTTTACCATTGTTAGAAACAAGGATCAGTTTGTTTGTGTGCGTGCGTGAATGTGCATTTGCTTTTAATAATTATTTCTTATATTTTCTTTATTTTACGTCTGGCACGTAATTTTTGTTTCAATGATATATTCACATTCACACTCAGTGTAGCTACGATAATTTAAACATTCTTACACGTAAGATGTGTATCTGTATGTGTGTGTGTGTGTATTTGTGTTCTCAGGCCTATTCATTTGTACGTGTATGTATGTATTTGTGTGTATTTGTGTACTTTTAGTGATATAGTGCATTATTCGTAGAACAATTTTAGTTCCTGAACATTATTATTTCACTTTTACGAAATTTTTAGCTCAAATTTTATTTTGTTTAAAACTATTTGTAAGGTGGCCATGCTAGATGAGTTACCTGATAACTTGATCATGGTCATCCTGTCTTCTTTTCTTATTTTTGAAGCAAATGAAATATATCGTATCGCTTCGTATCGTACTTGTATTTGTGTGCGTCTATGTTTGTTTGTATATATTTGTATGTATATGTATGTGTAGTGTATGTACTTATGTGTGTGTGTATTTGGGTTTTTTCATGTATGTTTGTTGTACGTGTACATATATGGTGTATGAGAGTTTCTATTTTGGGAATAGGGATACGATTGGAATAAATGGCGATACAGATGATTAATTACATTTTGTACTTTGATTGAATGGTATTAGATGGATACAAAAAGTGGATCGTTAAAATTATTCACATTCGAGATAATTAAATTTTAAATGTTTTTTACAAGTTTAAATCTACTTCTCAAACACACACACACACATACATAGTTACACACACACATACACACACACACACGTACACACAAATACGTACACACAAACACGTACACACTATGGTTATTACTCAGCCAGCAAATAATAATGATAGTACTTATTGGTTGTTACATGGTCACACCATTTTGTTTGTTTGTTTTGTATTGTAAAGATCAAATTTACATCCTGATTTTATAACGATTTTTAATTAATTTTAAAAACTTTTTATTTTGTATAAACTCTCACAGATACACACACCACACGCACACACACACGATATGTGCCATGTAACACATACACACACACACATACACACAATATGTGCCATGTAACACACACACACACACACACACACATATATATAACACACACAACACACACACAATATTTGCGCATGTAATATTATTAAGAAAGATATTGATTTATTGGCGGTGACACTTAAATTTTTCGTTTTTACTGTAAGCTTTATGCTAAAACCCAAATGTTTTTTTCAATACCTCATATTTTCATTTGACAGTAATTAATCAACTATTTATATTTAATTAATTAATTTAATTAAAAAACTTGAAAAAAGTGTTTTTTTTTTTGTTTGACCAGCAAGTATTCTATAAAAAATCTAAAAAATTAAAGTGATAATAAACGAAGAGAGTGTTATAAGATTGAAACCATGAGCAAAAATTGGAGAAAAAAAATCATGTTTTCATCGATGGGACGAGGAATGGGAGTGCAAGGATTACGGTGATCCCGAGTAAAAATCCGGTAGCAGAAATGATGTAAGAGGCTGTCAGGTAGCGTTTGGCTGTTTTTAAATCTCCGTCTTGAATCCTTTTCTGTTGGCCAATATCTGTGTTTGTGTGTGTGTGTTTGCGTATGTATGTATGTAAAAATAATAAATAAGACCTTTTTTATGGCCGTAAGAAGATCTTTTTTGGTCGAACATGGCCTCGATGATCACAAGGAGTTACCAAATAAGTATGTCTATAGAGACTTTAGGAGTTTTATAAACTCAGCTAATGATAACCCAGATAAACGTAATTCAATAAATAGGCTGTTCCAAAAAAACAATATCAGCAAATGCAAAATCTCTATCTGCTGTTTTCAGATTCCGATCTCTGACATACATCGTGTTTTAATCAGCAGATGACATAGATGAAACACTGATACATTTATCTTTTAAATATTTCGGAACCAAACCTTTCAAACTTTTAAATACCAATACATCCAACTTGAACATGATTCTTTGTCTAACACGCAGCCAATGCAACTCCTTTACAGTTGATCATGCACGATCAAATTTTAATTTGCGGCATATCATTTTAGCAGCCTGGTTCTGAACCATTTGAAGTTTATCTATTCTAGAGTTGACGAAAGCTTGTACTAATAATGTCATTGTATCTCTATCTACAGATTTTGTAACTTATAACTGACATAGTTGAAACATACATTTTTGTAACCAATAGATTGACTTGTGGACCCATGCATGTATGTACGTATGTATGTATGTATGTATGTGTGTGTGTGTGTGTGTGTGTGTGTATGTGAGTGTATGTGTGTGTTTATTTAAATTTGTTTGTAATTGTAATTTGTAATGAATTTGCTTAACAGTGTAATTTTTCTACATCTTATATTTCAAAATCACTTGTTAAAAATTTTTTATTGTAAATTCTAAAAAAAAAAATATTTCTGAAAATCAACTGAACTCACATGAAAGCAGGTAGGCAAAGCAGCCAAAAAGCACTCCACAGAATATGATAACCATGCAGGCAACGATGTAGGCAAACATAAAATCGTCGGCAGATGGCAGGCGAGTAGTGGGCGGCTTTTCAACAACTGGGACGGCTATAACTGATCCGTGTACTTCCTTTTCCTTATTACTACAATGAGGATATCTAAGATACCTGTAGTTAGGTTCAGTAACACGTTTCCGCTTTGGAAACTGTCTGCAGTACATTCGCAATCGAAACAGTTGAAATCTAGTCAGAGTGAATTGGATTCTTCCATTCGGACCTTCTCTCATTGCCAGCGTTTCAACGTTTAAAAATGCTAGCTCCGCTGGCATGATGAAATGTTGCTAGTCAAATTGTCGTTTCAGATAAGTTGTGACTCTCTTCTTCAATTAAGAGGATGTAGTAATTTTTGTTGTTTCCTTTGATCATTGGAGTGAGTTCGATTTCAGTTTCAATAAGTCTTTTTGTTGCGTCAAACCGGCTAATGTGAGACTTAAAACAGAAATTATCACAGACTTTTATCAGTTGTGTGTTGTAAGACAAGATGAGAAATTTGAAAACGAATGATTAAATAACCATACTGATTCTATAAACATGGAACTTTATGAATCTAATCTTTGAACTTGTGAACATTGATATTAACTACAATGCTTACAATCTATGATCAGATTTGATTTGTTTTAAAGTTATTTATAGACCTGAAATTTCCAAACTTGTGCTTCCCATTTGACAGCTGAGCAGATAAATAAGCAATGAATGGATTTATAAATTTATTAAATATATTTTCAATTGTTTTTATTATATTTTATTTTTATTATGTCAATATTATTTAATGAATTTTATAATTTTTTTATTAGAGACTTAAATTTTTTCATAACTAACTTATAAAATCGTAATTAATTTAACCATTGAATTCAGTTGAACCATTGAATTATAGGTTAGTATGTCGCATTTGTCTATTCGTTCGATCATCTTTTTATCATTTCAAATCATTCGTCTGGGATCTCATTTTTATTTAAAATTAAAAAAAAATATATATAAACAAATGAATGAATAAACAAAAACTTAAAAAAAAACTCTGTCGATGACGGGAAAGCAGACAAAAAAATTCATAACAAACTGTTTATAAACAATTTGCCGGCCAGAGCCTCCGATGTTTCTCGGATTATAATAATAATAAAAATAATATTAATACCGTCAACAATAATAAATTAATAAATAAATAAACAAATAAATAATAACCAATAACTCACCATCATGCAAATGCTAGGCGCATTTCAAATCGTCATCGTCGTCGTCATCATCATCAGCAGTTACCCGGGCAATTGTACGAAGTTATGTTATGGCAAGGCTGATATTTCAGAAATGATATACACGGACATTTATGCATTTATATACACTTAGATATACATACACAAAAATACATATTTTTTATGGTGTTTTGTGCTATATAAGAGGTGCATTGAAAGTGTCAGTGTTTTATTTCTTTATCACGCCTTCATCTCTTATATAAAAAGTTAATTAAATACAACAGGCGAGTACATGATCCAATGCCACAAAATGCTTCGTGTTAACGACAACTTGAAGGTTATCTTTTCTTTCATATTCTGCCTTTCAGGCACCTCTATGTATGTATATATGTATACACAGAGCCGGATTTAATCTAAAGTCTCAATAACATAGGGCCCCACTAAACTCATATAATAACTTCGTATCGTAACTTCGTATCGCTACAAAATGTTATACAAAACAGCCAGAAAATGTCGCCAAATATTTTTTCACAAGCAAATTATTGAAAATATCTTTATGTTGATACTCAAAATAAGGAAATTTGCAATAGTTTCAAATTTCTACTTAATTAATTACACTTGTCAATCAGACCCAGTGTGTATTTAAATATATGTGCAGTATTTTAAACATTTATATTAATAAAGTTTATTAAAATAAAATTATTAATCAGCTAAATTTTATGTAGAAAATAAAAATATGAAGCAGTAAATTATTATTTTGTTTAACAGGTAGCGTCTTGGTGGATTCAAACCTACTGGCGAAACATCGAAGAAGGTTGATAACTTTGTGGAAAATTATCCCCAGAAAATTTTCCTTAAAACTCATTCCTAAGTAATTCTCAAAAGTACCGCTAAAAAACATGCAGACCTACAACGCTTCATACACGCTGCAAGTAACATGCAGGGATCAGTTCGCATTCGAAACAGGTCACTGCAGCAGTTTGCAAGCATGTTAAACGTTTGTGGGGAATTTTTGTTTGTCGAGACAAACAACTACACATACAACACAACAAACAACACAGCCCAACAAACAACTACACATACAACACAACAAACAACACAACCAACAACACAACTACACATACAACACAACAACAAACAACTCAGCCCAACAAACAACACAGCACAACAAACAACTACACATGCAACACAATAAACAACACAGCCCAACAAACAACACAACAAACAGCACAACACAAACAACTACACATACAGCACAACAAACAACACAACCAACAACGCAGAAAAAAAACACCAACACAACAAATGCGACTACGAAACCTCCCACTGTTCTGAGTCGAAGGTTCACGTAAATGGAAAATATCAACATGAGTGTCTCTGCAATCCCGGGTTCGAATCCAGTAAAAAGCTTGTCGATCGCTGCCTTGGTTTGTCTTTCTTGCTGCTGCTGATGTGGTTAATGTGGTCCTGTTGTTGTGGTTGTAGTTGTTGTGGTTGTTTCTGTAGCTCTTGTTGTTGTTATTGTTGTTGTTGTTGTCGTTGGTTGCTAGTTTATTTAACTTGTTATAAATAGCACATTTCATAAATTATTATAAAATTTAATTACAATTAGCCAATAAAATAGGACAGTTCATGTTAGAAACAGTTTAATCACGATAACGTTGTTTTTCTTTTGCCCTTAATGAATTAGAAAAATCATTGAATGAATGAGACAAAAAAAAATGTGCCAATAGAAACAAAAAACTAAATAGACAAAAACGAGAAAAGTTAACCACCTCTAAAAAGCATAAAAAGAAACACCCTGCACCTCCGACGGGATTCGAACCCGCAATCCCCGGCTTAGGAGGCCGATGCCTTATCCATTAGGCCACGGAGGCGTGCTAAAGGCGTATGCCAATGAAGATACACAAACCATAATACCACTTTTACGTTATTCAAACCTGTTATTGACGAAAAAGTTTAGTTATAAAATAACTTTAATTAATTTAAATCATTGTTTTTTTTAAATAAAATTTAATATTTTACATATATAATTAACACAAGTAGAATATTCGTGACAGAAAGTATTTTCATTATATTTTTTATTAAATTCACTTTTAATTCTCTTACAACATTCACTTTTCAAATATAAACACTAAACCTTAGTTACCCATGTGTTAATCATACTTCACTATTCAATTTATTTTATTTTATTCGTAAAAATTTGTGCTATTTCGAACTTTATCCGCAAAATAGGTGTTGATTAAAATAAATAAAAAGTAAAAAACTCGCGGATCAAATCAAAATGTAAATATTTAATTTATATTTAATTAATTATTAAATATTAAATTTTAATATTTCTTGTTTTTTTCGGACGTTTTCGGTTTTTCTTTCCACTTTTTTAACCTGTAAAATTAAATTAAGTTTTTTACTCTTTATAATTTTATCTTGCTAAAAATTAAACATACTACTTTATTGTGGACTAGAATGGACTTAGTTTTTTCATGCATACATACATACATACACACACACATACACAAACACACATACACACACAAACACATATACACACACACACACATAAACACACAGACAAACAAACACGTAAACACACGACGTACACAGACATAGATGAATGCGAGTACTTGTGTAAGAACTATGGCGAGACGTGCAAGAATATGTATGGATCGTTCGAGTGCTTCTGCCAGAAGGGCTTTGAGAGATATGGACTGGACTGCGAAGGTTGCTTTTTATTTATTATTATTATTATTATTTTATTATTATTATTATTTTCATTATTATTCTTAATTATATTATTCTTATCATTAATCGTTGTTAGAAATTGACTGAAACAACTAAAAAAAAGCAATATAGAGATAATACTTTAAGCAAATTAGCTTGTTCATACACTATTAAATATATATATATATATATATATATATATATATATAGTTTATTATATATATATATATATATATATATAGTTTATTATATATATATTTCCAAAAAATGACACCTACACACACACACACACACACACACAGAAAAACATACACAAACAACCAAGCACATGCAAATACAGAAACATACACAAACATTTATGCACACATACATACATACACATCAACATACACACACATACACAGACATCAATGAATGCCTCTTACCACGTGTTTGTATGGAGCACTCCCTCTGCATCAACACACCTGGCTCATACAGGTGTGAATGTGCCCCCGGAACCACTCTGACGGATAATGCTTGCAAGTGTACGTGCGTGTGCGCGTGTGAGTGTGTGTATTTGTGTGTGTGTGTGTATGTGTGTGTTTGTGTGTCGTCATCTTCATGGCGTTTTTCTCTCAGATGCTGAACCATGTAGCTACATGAAGTGTGATAAAAGGAATAGCTACTGCGTATCCGTCAACAATGAGCCCGCGACATGTATGTGCAAGTCAGGATATAGGCTTGTTGGCAACAACAAATGTGGCGGTCAGTTGTGGCTGTGGTCGTCGTGTGTGGCCGTTGTCGTGTGGTCATTGTGTAGTGTGTGGTTGGCGTCTCTTGTTCTTGTCGTGTGGTCATTGTGTAGTGTGTGGTTGGCGTCTTTTGTTGTTGTTGTAGTAGTATAATCAAAGACTTGTGCCAAATTCATAATTTAAACTCTCTTTATTGCCATTACAGACATAGATGAATGTTCAGATAATGAAATATGCTCCGAGAACATGATATGTGAGAACAAAGACGGTGGCTACAGTTGTCTCTGCAAGGAGGGTTATAAGAAGGATCGAGAAGGCTATTGTTTAGGTGCTGTTGTTTGATGTTGTTGTTGTTGATGTTGTTGTTGTTGATGTTGTTGTTGTTGTTGATGTTGTTGTTGTTGTTGTTGATGTTGTTGATGGTGTTGTTGTTGTTGTTGATGTTGTTGTTGTTGTTGATGTTGTTGATGGTGTTGTTGTTGTTGATGTTGTTGTTGTTGTTGTTGATGTTGTTGTTTTTTTGTTACTATTTATCCGTTGTTGATGTTGTTTTTGCGTTACTGTTGTTATCCAGTATTGTCTCATAGCATCAATTATTGCATTAGTTGATATGATGTGAACGTTAAAAACTTCTCAGATGTTGACGAATGTAGGACTAACCCGTGCACTAAGAATGACACCACATGCGAAAATTTAGAAGGGACGTATATCTGCGTCTGTCCAGACGGCTATGACGGGCCTTTGAGTTGTGATGGTAAGTTGGCTGGCTGGCTGGCTGGCTGGTTGGTTGGTTGGTTGGTTAATTGGTTGATTGGCAGGTCAGTTAGTTGACTGATGCATGCATTTTTATTACGTTAAAAGTTATTTGATAGAAATAAAATTGTCACAACGCGTTACAATATAAAGAATTTCTTCTCCAACCGAACACACGGCAAACAAAAATGTCCCACCCTGACGTACAGAAGCAGCTGAACTGACGACGCCGAAGAAGATGAAGCAGGTGGACGTGAGGTCCAGGGAAATACTGCAGCTGATGGAGGGCAGGTTCATCGCGGGGGTCGACAACTTGGACCTCTTCATTATCATCGGCATCGCCCTAGGAGCCATTTTGCTACTGTCGGTTTCTTGTTAGATTTCATTTTTTGATGTTAGCATTATAACTATTGTTGTTGGTTTGATGGTAAATTCATGTGTCGGTGTTAGTTTTCATTTATTGAATTATCGCCTTTTGGTTTTGACGCAATGTCAGGCAAATGAAATAAATATTTCTTTAACGCCATTCAGCAATTTGGTGATGTTCTACAACAAATTCTACGAGCCTGCGAAGAAAGTGCTCAAGAGGGCCTTCAGAAAATGTTTCAGGTTCCCTATTTGATTTCACCTGTCACCATTATTATTTTAAATCATCTGATGTATCATGAAAATGATATGGAAGAAATGCAGAAATGTGGCTCGGTACAGCAGTTTCGAACGCAAAGGTAAGCCCACACACCTCGCCTTCTTGCACGCGTGTGATTCACATCACAAGTTGACTATAAGCGTCTGATTGGCCATTCGTTTGTACTTTTTTTTTAAATCTAACAGCTCCGTACCGTATGCAACGTTTCAAAACTATTCCGACGAAATTTCGAATTTTCAAAATTATTGACATCGTGAAATTGTTAGCTGTTGTAGAATTTTTTTTTAATTTTTCTTCCCAGATACATGGGACCCTTGTTTAGTTGTAAGAAGGCAAAGTAAGGAAGGCAGCTATTGCGAGATGCATGTTTGGATTTCTTCTCTCAATAAAATCTTCTTTCTTTTTGCTTCCTCCTACGTCATAATTAATATTTTTCATTTGTTTTTGGCGTTTTTCCAATGAAATTTTTCATTTTCATGTATACGTAGAATAAATTAAGAATAAGAGGTTAGTTGCACGTTATTTTTTGTTTAAATCATTTTTGTTGGCTGGTTTTGGCTTTGATACAGCACTATTTCAAACACTAACTAACTAATTAATTAATTAATTAATTAATTAATTGGCACAAATCCATCAATCAACTACGTAATATTCATCAATTAACTACGATATAGCCACCAGTGAACGACGCTATGTTCAATTTTTTTCAAAAATTTATTCGGGTTTCAAGTTTTGATTTTCATCAAAAAACAAAAAGAAAAATGAAACAATAAAAATCCCGTAAAAATTGATTAAAAATATACACAAGCTGACTTCGAAATGCTCAAATATATTTGGTGTCGTCATTTTTATTTAGGGTAAACTTATTCCTGAATGAATGAATGAATGATTGATTGATTGAATGAGTGATTGATTGAATGAATGAAAGAATGAATACAAATGAGTTAAACTTGTCCATCTAAAAGCTGTAAATGCGAGTAAAAAATTGAAACATTTAAACAGAAAAATATAGATCATACATATCATATTTTTTTTTGTATAAAGCGTTTGTCATTGCAAAGTTTATTATTATTATTATATTTTTGTTTTTTTAAATAAAATTTAACCCTATTAAAAATCGTTATAGGTAAAAAACATTACATTAAATAACATTAACTGCGTTTTCTGGCAAAGCTATATAAAATTAATTAAGTTAATTAACCAGTTTAATTAATCAGTTATGAAATTATGACGATTGTTAATTAATTGGTTAATTAATTAAATAATTAATTAATACAATCTTATAAGCTATATATTGCGTAATGAAATAATAAAAATATGGCGAACGAAAGAAAATTCTTTTCGTTCGTTTGGACGGCTGTGTTCATTGCATTTTCTGGCCTGACCTGTTATAGTTAGGTTTTTATTTTTTTGAAAAGAACATAAATTTGATGTTTAATTGTTATTTAAATGTTTAATATTTATGTATTTATTTATTTATTAAATCATTATTTATTTATTCATTGAAAATTTTCAATTTTTTAGTTAAAATCCGGAATTTTAAAGACATTTATTAAATTGCGATAAAATTTCTCAAAATCAAAAAATCATTGATACTTCATGGTGAATATTTTTGTGTAGTTTTTGCTGTCTATGCTGCTGTTGTTGTTGCTGCTGAAATTGTACATCATCGTTATTGTTGTTGATGTTATGTTTAACATTGTTATTTACATTGTTGTTGTTGATGTTTCTGTTGTTGTTGTTGTTGGTCCTGTTGTCGCAGTGACTCGAGAATGCAACAGATGCACGAACCAGTGTCGTTGTTATGTTGTTGCTTAGACCGTTGCATGTCTCGACGTTGTTGCGGACGCATTGCAACAAATCGAAGTAATTTCTGCAACGAAAAAAGGAGTTGTTATCTCATGTGGAGTTGCTGTTGCAGCGAACTGACCAGGTTCAAATACAGTCTGACCAAGATTCGTGACAACCGCAAAATTCTCTTTTGTCACGTAATGCTTGTGCAACATACAGATTGTGTATGCATGTGTGTGTGTGTGTGTGTGTATGTGTGAGTGTGTGTATATGTATGTGTGTGTGTGTACAAGTTTGTTTTGTGTGAAATTGAATAAAATAATTGAAATATGATATATTAGCAAGTTTAGCATTCGGCTGAGCTACTTAATATGAAATAGAATTTTTTAAACATCTTTTCTTCTTATTAAGCTTGGCAAAGATAGATGATATCTTAGCGAGTTTGATTGACGCCATTCAATGATAAATTGATAGGTATCAATCAGAGGATATCAGCAGCGGTAGATAAGATAGATTGATATTAAATTGTATCAAGCTTGTTTGTTTGTTGGAATGCTTTGTTTGATCGGCAACAGCCATGATGATGTGGAGATGATGATGTTGGTAATGATGATGGATGAAGATGATGAGGATGAAGATGACGGTGACGATTATGATGATGACGAAGACGACGACGATGTAAGTGTGAGTGATTTGTACTATTACTATCGTCATAAGCATCTTAGCTTTCAAGACAAATGCATTATTTATAATATACATCACTGTAATGTGATTCGCACATCAGACCTCACTCACTCATTCACTCATTTATTGATTTACTCATTCATTCATTCACTCATTTACTGATTCATTCATTCATTCACTCACTCACTCACCGGCAAAAAACATCATGCCTAGTCTCGAATCGCTTTGCGTGCTGACGATGGTGGTTGTAATGGTAGTTGTTATGATGGTGACCATTCTTCACCAGACTCGGAAAACCACCACCACCATTATTATTATTGTTATTACTATTACCATAAGGGAAATGATGATATTGATGATTGTGATGATGGCGGTGGTGGTGGTCATGGTGGTTGGTGTAGGTGAGGTTTGCGAATTGCTGGTAGCACCATTCTAAAGTCTGCCGCTGCTTCTTCAAACAATTCTGATGAATAGCGTACACTGCGTGATGGTGATGATGATGATGGTGATGATGATGGTAATGACGATGATGATGACGACGATGATGATGACAATGATGGTGATGATGATGGTGATGATGACGATCATGATGAAAGTGATGATGACACGATAATGATGACAATAGTGATGATGAAGATGGCGACGATGATGGTGATGATGAACGACTGGGTGATTCCAACTGACCGTCATAGAAATCCTTGAAGGCGCACATATCGTGCAGCTCGTTGTACACGCTGAACATACGCGAGGCCTCCTCCATCACTTCCGGTTGGCATTTGCTGGCGATTCTTCCCGCGCATTTCACCGACTTCCGGAGGCCACTGTGATTGATTGAGTGAGTGAATGGATTAAAAAATGGATGGATGAATGAGTGAGTAAATGAATAAATATATAAATGAACGAATAAATATGTAATTGAATGTGTGAATTGATTAGTGGATAAGTGGATTAATAGATGAATGGATGAAAGATTGAGTGAGTTGATAGATGGATGGATAAGTGGATGAATGGATGGATGGTGTGTGGATGAATGAATGAGCTGATTAGTTGAATAGATGATAATTATAAAAAAATTTGATAAATTCTTTCAGAAATGACGAGATAATTATTTGGAAGTCATATTAGCAAACCATTCATACATTACAGATTGACAATGACAAAAAGTCACGATATAGGACAGGTCATTTCAATTTACGTGACCTTTCAACCTGTTGATCTTTGAACTTTGGCTCATGGAACCGTTAAACATCTTCAATACCATTATTTTGACAAATTATCAGGTCCGCTATGCATTCATTCATTCAGTTATTTGTTCATTCATTCAGTTATTTGTTCATTCATTTATTCATTCATTCATTCATTCATTCATTCATTCATTCATCCATTCATCCACTCATTGTTTAATTGCTCATCCTTTTGTCTTTCTTTCATTCCACTAACTTGCAGACAAGCCTGATGACTTCGGCGTCGGCCCCGGTGCAAAATGATTGGCTGAGTGTGAAGGAGTCCCTCATGACGTCATCAACTTCTTGTTTACACCTGGCAATCTCGACCGTCACGTTTTCAGGGCACTGCGTTTCGTTCTGAGGGTCTGCCGTCGCACGGAAAGAAGAACGTAACGTACAAAAATGAATTACATTAACGAGTAATCATGAATAATGAACTATGAATTATAAATTTCAAATTATGGATTGTGAATTATAAATCGTGAATTATAATTCGTGAATTAGAAATTATGAATGACGCTGTGTTGAAATTGAAGAAGCGACGCTGAAAGAGAAAAGGAGAGAAAGAGAGAGAGAGAGAGAAAGAGAGAGAGAGACAGTAAGAGAGAGAGATAAATATATTGATAGATCTGTTCAAAGTACATTTACATGAAATCAATGAAAGTTTTTAGAGCCTAAATCCCTGGTAGCGTTGCATTGTATGTAAATCTAAGATGTGTGTGCGTGTGTGTGTGTGTGTTTGTGTGCGTGTGTGTGTGTAAGTGCGTGTGTGTGTCTGTGCTTGTGTGTGTGGTGTGTGTGTGTGTCTCTTTCAATTAGTTCATCATTCGAATTTAAACAAAACGAAACGAATCAAGGATAAGTCAATTTAACATTTTGAAAAAGTTCAGCACGCGCAAACAAACACACACACACACACATACATAACATATACACAATAATACATACACTAAACACACACACACATACACACGCACACACAGACGTTTATATTTAAATTACGGAGTGTTGGTTCGAACACGTTTAGAAATGTTTTCATCTGTTTACATGTTGCAATGCTATTGATCAAAATATATTTTTGATTGAACATTTTACATTGTAGGTACAATGATTATAAAAGTTCACCAAATCGTCGAGTTACATTTGCTTAGATGTTCATTGAGAGGAGGAGATAAGATGGAGAACAATTGACTTTCTTGATTTTTAAATAAAATTCCATTGACAATTGCTATCGAGTAAGATGGTTATCAATTGAAAAGAGAAAAAAATGTTATGTATGTAAGTGTGTTTGTTTGTGTGTGTGCGTGTGTGTACGTATGTGTGGGTATGTTTTTTATCGGTATATTTTTATGTCTGTCTGTATGTATGTTGGTGTGTGTCTGAATGTATGTATATCCATACTTGTATGCGTATGTTTGTGTGTATGTTTGTTTGTGTGCGTGCGTGTGGTGTGTGTGCGCGTGTGTGGTGTGTTTGTATGCTGAGGCCACTCTTGTTTAACCTTCCCATAAATAAACGCTTGTGTTTATGCAAAAAAAAAATTTTTTTTTTTACAATTGTATGCCAGAGCTTTTTTCTATACAAAAATTAAATACATAAATGCAGATAAACTAAATTTTATTCATTTATTTTTGTTTGTTTTTCTCCTATAAAGCAAGTTTTTCAAACGTTCATTTTTGAATTTTGTATTATAAATAAACAATGTTTGTTTAAAAATCAACATATACGTACATAAATATACATGCATGTATAACTGTGTGTGTGTGTGTGTGTTTATGTGTGTCCTTATGTGTGTATGCCTACATATATCTTTGAGATTTTATCTACATATAACCGTTCTGTTGAACATGCATTGATAAACAATTGAAATATCGGATCTTGTTAGCCGAGTCGTGTCGGTATGTTGTTGTTGGTGTTGTTGTTATTGATGTTGTTTGATGATGTTGTTTGTTAATGTTTTGATGTTTCAGATGATGTTGTTGATGTTTTCGTAATGTTTTTGTTGATATATTTGTTGTTGTTGATGACGTTGTTGATGTTTTAACTGATGTTTTTGTTGGTGTATTGTTGTTGTTATTGATGTTGTTGTTGATGTTTCTGATGTGTTTTTGTGATGGTCTTGTAGTGTTTTTGCTGTTACGGATGTTGTTGTTGTCATGGGTTTCTGTTTGACGAATGCTGCTTTTGCCATAGGTTTTTGATGTCGTTGTAATGTTATTGAAGCGAAAACAGTTGATGTTATTTTGATGTAGTTTTAACAATTTAATTTTATTACATCTATAAAAATGCTCATCTTAACGCTGAAATTATAAAACTTTTACAAAGTTCTCATCAAGTAAGAACATAATCATATTAATATTATAATAATACAGTTATCAGATTATTGAAATAATATAGACATCATCACGTTAATAATTATTTACAAATCATTCAACAACTACTTCATCTGATATTACCACTACTGCTACCACTGCTACTGCTACTACTACTACTACTACTACTACTACTACTACTACTACTACTACTACTATAACAACAACAACAGCTACTACTACTACTACTACTACTACTACTACTACTTCTACTATAACAACAACAGCTACTACTACTACTACTACAACTACTACACACAGATAGCAAACAACGATAATAATGCTGAAAATTCAGCTTTAATAAAATTCCTGCCAGTCAACATCTGCATTTGAAGCAGGGTACTGCGGCATGCCAGGGCGGAAACTATGTGGGCTATCGAGAATAGAGTTGATAAATCAATGAAGAAATGTAATAACTTTATATGTGAACTGCTCTGTTTCGGTGCATTGTATTGAGGCATTATACAAAGAATGAATGCATAAATTCGTTTTTGGTTTGTTTGTGAGAGTGTTTTTGTGCCTGTATGTGCGTGTATGTGTGTATGCATGCATGTGTACGTGAATGTTTGTATGTGTATATATATATATATGTGTGTGTGTGTGTGCGTGTGTCTGTTTGTGTGCTTGTGTGTTTAAATGTGTGTGTGTGTGGGGGTTTGTTTAAAAATAGAAACAAGTGAAACATCATCATCACCATCAGGAGTTAAATCAACTAAATCATTCCTTCGTTAATTCGTTTTCAGTCTTAGTCATCCCATCCATCTATTCACTCATTCAATCATTCACTTACTCATCCGCCC